TATATATATATATATATATATATATATATATATATATATATATATATATATATATATATATATATATATATATATATATATGTATATATATATATATATATATATATATATATATATATATATATATATATATATATATATATGTATATATATATATATATGTATATATATATATATATATATATATATATATATATATATATATATATATATATATATATATATATATATATATATATATATATATATATATAGTGATTTCGCCAGTTATCTGTTCCAAAAACCGGATAACAGTTCTCATCTATTTGCGGTTAACCGACTATTCAGTAAATTAGTGACGCTTTCTAAAATACAGGATCTTCTAAATTTCAACGTACGTAGCGTTTTAAACTTTTTTAAAAATTAATGTTAAAGCGTACATTTTCAAGACAGTTAGTGAATACAGTCATATATTATATATTTATAACAAAACATGGAAAAAGATATATATATATATATATATTTTATATTATAATATAAAATACCTTTTTTTAAAAAAGGTAGGAATAATGTATAAATGTTTTAATATCAGCGGATGTTTTAAATGTTTTAATATCAGCGATGTTTTAAATGTTTTAATATCATGATGTTTTAAATGTTTTAATATCAGTTTAAATGTTTTAATATCAGCAGATGTTTTAAAATCATTCTCTCATATAAAAACATTTGATTTGGAAAAATGAGATGTTATGAAATAAATTTTTTTAATATGTATTTTAAAACTTATTGTTATGCGGACATAGATGGAAACATAGCTAAACTTGAATGTTCTCAAAACAACTTGTTGCGTAAAGATAATATAAAGAACATTTGCTAACACTAAAATACCGCCAAATCTACGAATAAATTTTTAAAAAACTATAACGCGATAAGTTAAAATTTCTTTTTTGACAAATTTATGAAACTTTCTTTGAGGTTTAGTATGAACATAAGATTAATTAAATGTTTTGTACATGCACTTGCAATATCGAGAAGTTATACTATTGGAGTCGCAATTTTGTTTAGCGACTCCGACTCTGTTAAAAATGTTGCAACTCCGCAAATCCGACTTGACAGCCCTGCTTTTAAGGTATCGAAGTCTACATTATTGACTAAACTTAAATCTGCCATAAATTCTAATAAAGTTTTTTGAGTTGCAATTTTTGTCTTTATCAATGGCTCTAGCATTATTGGTATCGTGTTCACATGAGTTTTTATATCAAGATGAAATTCAAATTCTTTTCCAAGTAGAGCTTTAACTTTTAATTGAATAACTTGATTGTGAACACTTGACAGTTTGATGTATTTTAATCAATTTGTGTGAGTTTTTAAGTTAAATCATTTTAGTAAACATCTTCACACTCATTATTTATAACTTTAAATTGGTGTTTTGTCAAAAGAGTCATTTTCATTATTATTAAAATCACAGACCCCACTTGAGTCTTGCTTTTGCAGAAGCCTCATTACATCGCTTTTGTTAGCGGGGAGTTAAAATCATTTCAAGCTATTGACTGTGAAATTTACTTATTTCTGGTTATAGCTCAAATTGAAATGGTATTCGTAGCTAAATCAGAGACAATATTTTGAAGCTTCTTTTGCACAAAGAAGTTGCTAACAGTTTTTTCATCTCTTCTCACTTGCTCTTTCTTTTCTGTTAACATAATGGTACATTTGTTTTCTGTTAACCATTTCCTTGCTATTAAACATTATTCTTTGTTTCTTAGTAACTCTTAACTGGTTGATTGCAGCCTTTTAGAGAGAATTAGTATTAAAAAACAAAAAAATAATAATAATATTTGCCATGTCTAATAGCATCCATCTAACAACATTGGTAAATACAATGAAGTGTAATAATATGTCTAACAACATCTGCAATTACATATTTAATAACATCTGTATAAAAAAAAATATGAATATTACTGATGTAGTTATATCTTATCAATTATCTAAGTACAACAGCATCTGCGGTAAAGGTGCAGTGCTTGCTTTATAAGCAAGAAGTGCCAAGTTCAACCCTTACTATGTTCCTAGTAGTATCGTGCTTAACTAATTTATTCTAGTTTGACTGCACCAGTTGCACCACCTCTGCAGCATCTCTGACCATATTGTTACTACTACTGTTTTACTACTGTAGAAACTACTGTTTTATGATAAATAAAGTAAAAATATAGTTTTGTTTGTTAGAAAGTAGTGCTAATAAATAGCAAAAAAGTTAGTTTAATTACTACTGTTTTATGATGAATAAAGTAAAAAAATAGTTCTGTTTGTAAGAAAGTTATGCTAATGTAATAAAATTTTTTATGTAAACAGGGCGCAACAAATCGACAAACGTGCAAACATTTGTTAAAAAAAAAGGAAAGAAAAACAAACATCACGTTTCCTTAATTTTACTTAAGCAAACGTTGGCACTCAACAACTTTAAAAGAAACCATGCTAATACTTTCTTAAATAGTATAACTTTTAAGTTTAATAATTAAGCACACAACTGAAGATGCATTTACAAAAGCATGGGAAATTTTAGTTAAAATGTATGCATTTGCAATTACTTTAAAAGAAACTATGCTAAAACATTGCTTTCTTCAAAAACTTGCTTTTTTAATTTATTTTACTTTCTTATTATTGTTAAATTAAAATGTTTGCTTGTCCTTTTTAAAGTTTTGGATTTGCAAAAATATATTTAATTGAATAAAATTAAATAAATTTGCAAAAATATATTTAATTAAATAAACTATATAGAACTATGTTTATTATAGTTTTCATTTTTTACTGTGGGTTTAACAACACCATTAATATGGTACTTTATTAGTAATATAAATACTTAATATAATAACTTTTTAAATACCTAATAACTTTTATTTTACTTTTAGTTCCCTTTTATTTAAACTTCTTCAAGTTTATACGTTTTTTTAAAAGTAAATAAATTTATTTATGTATTAAATGATGACAGTCGACAGCCGTAAAGTTAATGCATATTAGTTATCATTAATTTGCACGCACTTTGCAAGTGCATGAAAAATTGTTTTGGATTGATGAAAAATGGATAAAATTTAATAAGCATCTTTGATATATCTATTTATTATATATCTTATTGACTAGAATAAAGGTTATTTGAAAATAAAGCTCCTTTATAATTTAATAAAAATTATTTGAATAAATATAAATTAAAATTGAAAAAATTAAAAATAAAGGGCTTTTAGAAAAAAAGCGAGGAGAAGCCATGTATACATTATTAGTTAATTCCTAAGTGCTTATTTATTCCATGTTGGAAGAAAATATTAAGTGATCTTATAAAGGTAACAACTATTTATGCAATAAATTTTAAATTTTAATGATAATTATTAAAAATATTATAATAATGCATACATGCAGCCAGATGATTGTTTATGTAGTAACTTTCTTTGGATATAACTACATTTGAAAAAAATATCAACTAAAGATCCATTATTTCATCCAGATGTAGTTAGGTATAGAACTATTACCAGTTGTAACTATAT